CTTGAGCTCTCCCTCTCGCACTTTCATTTCTGTCCCGCATTTAACATTGTTTGATAACAAGTCCTAGCTGATCGATGGTCCCTAAATATCTCTCCTACTCTCCCACCGGGAACTTCATTTTCATGCAATACGTCGACACCGAAGTCTGGAAAGAGTTCAAGCTCGACTGACCTTGTATGATGTTGTAAGTTGATTCCCCCTTTATTATCAGAAATTTTACCATATTAACTTTTCAGGGGAGGAGATCCCAAAGAAATCAATAATTGTACCTTTCCAAAAGAAACCACCTTGATTTTACTAAAGCCGAACAAAGAGGTTCTGATAGGCTTGATCTCAACATCTAGTTCCATCTATTTGAAACACTCGAAGAACATGATGTTCATCGAGCTCCCAATATCAATGGAGATCCTTTCAACCTCATAACCTGCGTTTCTACCGTTACCACTAAAGCATCATTATAGGAGATCAAGATACCCTACGAGTCATCAGCTCCAAACTTCAACTCCAGAATGTAATGAGCAATATGGACCTTTGTTACACTTTCTCAAACACATCTCAGGTTAGCTCGCTTAGCATTGTTGGAATCACCATTCGTCAGCCACCCTTTAATCATGTAAATCACCCCCTTCTTATGAGGCCTCACCTCTGGTTCATCCGACCTTTTCCATTTGTCACCTACCTCTTTATCATTTTTTTCTTCTCCCTATCCTGGATGATAAAATCCTTCAACTATCCTGCTCTTATAAGCCTCTCTATTTCATCCTTGAGCTCTTTATAGTTCATCCAATACCAGTAATCACGATGATTGTAACACCATGCCTACACTTATTGAAGCCAGAGTAAATTTTTTGCGCTTAATATTTGAAAACACTAATTTAATTTTCAAAAACTCATATTAACTGTTTCGAAAATACTTTTCTAACTGCGGGATGCTACTCAGCATAATCTGATCTCTTTCTCTTTTCTCTTTTACTAGTATGCATGCAACCAAGTAATATTCATTACTCTAATAGACTCCATGAAAGATACTGGAATTAGCCATGCATAAGCTGAAATTCTAAATTCTGAAATACTTTTCTGAATATAGAAGCAAGTACAAGTTCAACAACACACAAATAAGCATTAAACAAAACATAAACAATACAAACATGTTCAATAATACACGACATGATTACTAAAAAGTATCCTCGCTTTATGACCACCACCACATCCGGCTCACGCGCCACGCGGGACTCCGTCACCTAAAAATGGTTAGTGGCAGCCGTGAGCATAATGAATCAACGTGCTCCGCCGGAATCGGCACTGAATATTCAGCACATTTAATATCAAATTATGAAATCAACATATATAAAATAAATCGGTTACTTGTGGCTAATAGTAAGTCGGTACTCATGTGCACACTCTGGGGTCGCCTCCCATAAAAATCCAGGCTAGGCATCAGGCCCACACATCTGGACGCGAGACTTAGGCTGGGCATTGGGCCTCACACATCAAAGTCTGGACTTAGACTGGGCATCGGGCCCACACATCTAAGTCATAACTAGAGTTTTTGACCAAGATGGGATCACTCCTCTGTCTCGGTCCATCAATTTACTATAACACATACTTCAAACATGATAAGAAATTAACAACAATGAGATACACAATACAAGGTCCCCACTGGATGCTGGTGACTGCAAATGCTGGAATATCTGTGTAGAAGGTGGATGCTCGACTCTTTTCAAGCTACAAAAATATTTGAGCGAAATATTCTAAGTACTGGGCTCAAAATGAAAACTCGAATCTTATTATCTGATCTGACTAGGTTTGTGCACTCAGTTTTAAAATCATTTTAAAACTCATTTTAGGAACTTACGAGCTGATTTTGAAAATTTATCGTCTTGGAGGCATTCTAGAGTTCTCTGAAATATTATAAGTCTGGAACCATATTCTGATTGGATTTTAATCTGACTGGGTTCGGAAAAAATATTGAAGTCTCAGTTCATGCTCAAACTGATGTTTCGAACTGAAACTCCGAACCGTCTAGACTGTCTGGACTGATTCAACTGAACTTAAATTCTTTAAACCGTCTACACTAAACTGGACCGACGACTCACTCGGAATCGGCTGGTTACTCGCTTGACTATGTGCAGCTCGACTTAACCTTGGTCCGAGTTCGACGTGGCAACTCGGGGCCTGCACGAACATGGCTGACACGGCTTTGCCGATGCACGGGTTTAAAATGGTACCACGGTCACTAACACAGGGGTGTGCGTGGACCATGGCTAACAGAAAATAATGCATTGACGGTAGGTCGGACGGACGCACGGGCGTTGGGTAGAGCGCAAGGGCGCGACTTGTTCAGACTCGGTGCACGGGCACGCACTTAGTGGCTTGGCTCCAAAGATCAGATGAGAGTGTGACACGTGTGGAACGATGATACACGTTGAGTATACGTGCTAATCCACGTCGGTTGGTTGGTACGCTTGCTACGAGGCACTCGGCCTCAGTAGCCTTCTTAGGCTCGGTTACGGTCCCGTCGGCAACACATCGGCCAACCGAACACATTCCGAAACCCAAGGAATCATTTATAATTCTATGACGTCTAAAGTTATTTAAACAGAACTAGGTTCGGGCGATTAAACTCAGATCTAAAAATTAAATGGTTTTTGAAATCGGATAAAACTAGGGTTTTTGATTGTTGAATAACCTAACTCATTTTAAGCCGAAATTTAAACCCTAATCTCTATGTGATTTATAAGGATTTTACCTCTAACAACTGCAGCTAAATCACAACCGAAACAATTTCTAAGAATATCACAATACGTCTAAAGTCTTGATTTTTAAACTACATCCAACAGTCTCCAAAAATCACGAAATTTAAACCACAACTTCCTCAGCACATACGTGAATTTTTTTTCAAAATATGACATTCAAATTCAACCTACAACTCATCCAAATAAAATCGAGCATTATCGGTCCAAATTCACAATTCGGTTAGCATATCAAACGAACTCCAAAATTCACCAAATTTGAACCTAAGCCTCGGGACAATCCACTATGATTTATAAAATAATAAGTACCATTTTATCACTTATAATAACTGAGATCTAAAAATTATCGCTTCAAGCTCGTAAAATCCATATAAAATCTACTCTCACTCAAATTCACCAATTACCATATTTATAATAAATTATAATTCATGTATAAGATGATGGAGGAATTTTGAAGCCAATATACCTCAAACCGGGCTCGAAATAAAAATTAAAAGATGGTAGATGAGAAAAATGGCTCGGTTGAACCAGATGGGTCGGATCGGGGCTGAAAGGTCGCAGATCTGGGTGCAGCTGCTGCTGGCCGCGACTGAATCGAGCGGATCTCGTGGTGTGGGCATAGACCTAGGCTCGACTGAAGTGTGGCATCGCAGATCGGGTGTTGTGGGGCCAGGAGGCGCGTGGGTGTCGACTAGGGCGTAGGGGACTACCGGCGTACGGACATTTGTGGGCCGGCGTGTGGTTGTTGCGGGTGGACGACGCGTACGGACGCACTTAGATTCAGGGATTACGTGAACAGGGGTGGACAGAACGGGGCTGGACTGCCGTGAACGAGGTCGACGTGTATGGTAGCTCTGTAATTTGAATAACACTGATTTAGTTTTTGAACTCCCAATTTAACTTTTTCGAAAATACTTTAATTTAACTGTGGGATGCTACACAACTGAACTAAATTCTCATTTATGTTCTCACTTGCTATTATGCATGAAACCGAGATATAATGCATTACTCTAATAAGGCACCATGGAGATCTCAGGATTTTAGGTATACATAACTGAAATCTGAATACTGACTATTGTACTGAGTACTGAATACTAAGTGCGGAAGCAAATGCAGGCATGCATCAACAAAGCATAATAACTCAAATATGTTCAAATATACATGACATTTTTACTCTAAATATCCTCGCTAGGACCTGCACCACATCATCTGCTCACGCTCCACGCTCGACACCATCACCCGAAAAATAGTTAGTGAGGGGCGTGAACATAAACCAATCAACGATGCTCCGCAGGAACCGTCACTGAATATACAACTAATATAATAACATATCATGACATCGGCATATATACAAGTACTTACTGGATTGGCAGAAATGATACGATGATAAACATTTTACTAACGGATCGCGAATTAAACATACATCCAATAAATACATAAATAAGTAAACTATCTATAGCTGATACTTAACTGACTGTCTATAACTATACTCGACTTACTGACTATAACTGTTGCTCGACTGATTGTCTATAACTGCTACTCGACTGACTAACTATAAGCATTGCTCGACTGACTGACTATAACTGCTGCTCGACTAATTGATTATAACTGCTGCTCGACTGACTGACTATAACTGTTGCACGACTGACTGACTATAACTGCTGCTCGACTTAGGAGAAGGACATTTGGCTATAAAGGAACATATCTCTAGGCCATTACCCCTTAGGGAAGAATTATTCTAACATCATCTGAAATTTCAAATTAACTCAAAGTTGTTCTAAGATTCTTAATTCATTTAACTCAAAGATGCACTAGAGTTCTTATCTCATCTTAACTAGCGTTCGGTTCACTAAGCTAGAAAGGACCTACTCGCTAGGTGATTATCCCTATTCAGGTAAACTAACTCTTACATACATACCTCAGTCAGGATATTGCGATTATAGAAAATGTAGTACCCAGTACAGGGTCCCACCTGATATGCTGAAATGCAAGTGCTGAATGAATTGTAATTGTCGGATCATCGACCCCCACAAGCTCAAACCAGGCTCGAATCAAAAATCGAAAGTTGGAAAAAAGGAAGAAGTGGGTCGATTGAACCGGACCGAACGGATCAGGCTGAAGGGTCGCAGATCCGATGTGCGGGGCTACTAAATCGAATCTAGTTTGGTGCAGCGATGGTTTGGTCGTGCATCTGGTGCTCGAGTCTAAACCGAGAAGGGCTCGGTTGGCTCAACGTGTGGACGGGACTAAGGGCTTGGGTCTTGTGGTTTGCCGGTGCGGTTGCGGTGCAGGAAGGGTCGAACCGGCACTGGGACACGAGATGATCGATTGAGACCAGAGCTGGTGGTGCGTGGACCGGGCTGGTCGCGGATGGCGAGGGACGGGAGCTGCGACGTGGACTTGGTGGAGGATGGGAGCTGCTCGTGGACGCTGGTTGAGCTGGGGGACGAACGGAACTAGACCAAGGTTTGCAGGTGACGGGAAGGTGTGTGAAGGGGCTCGCAAACGGTGATGCGCGGCTGAGACGAGGTGGACGGTGTTGGTTCGGGGAAAACCTTGGACGTCGGCGGGTTCGGGCTCGCCAGAAAATTGACTAGGTGACTGGATTTTGAGAAGATGGTGGTGGAGAGTGATGGTGGCTAGGGTTTTGGAGGTAGAGATGATGTTGGGAGGAAGATGATGATATATATAGTGGGTGGGAGATTAGGGTTTGTTCATGATGTTGGGCCTAAAAATATGGCCTAAAATTTCTAGCACTTCGGCTTTAAAAACGAGCTATGTAATCGGCTAAATAATAAATATTTGGTCAATATAAATATTAACAGAACTAAGTCTAAAATAATTGGTCAGTCGAATTTAATAAAATAATTGGGCTCGGATTTAAAAATGGAACAAAGGCTCGATTAACTGAAATGGGTCAGTTAAAATAATTAGACTCGCTCCAAAATGATAGGGTCGCTTAGATTGAATATTCGGGCTTCGCCTTACTTAAATAAAATTCTGATTATTCAAGGCTCAGTTTTACTTTTAAAAATAAAACTTATACTTGGGCTAAATAAATTTGAATTTAATATTAAAAATCGAATAAATCTTCTGTGGCTTAGACTTTAAACTAATTACTCGATTTAATGCAAATAAAAATCAATAACACACAAAGAAATTTTCTATTTATGGAAATAAAGTAGAGCTCAATAAATAGTAAAAATATTATGGACGTTACAAGCTTGCTGGACTGGTGCGGTCCCGCTCGTGGCTGGGACCGTTTAGGGCTGAGGTGCGAACTGCAGCTCGCGGATGAGATCGTGATGGTGAGGGCTGGGCGCGGTGATTCGGTGTGGGTGAGGGCCCGGTCTCCACGTGGCGGATTCGAGTTCGCCGGAAAATGGTGACCTCGTCGAATTTTTTGCCGTATTTCTTTGCTATGGAGTGGAGGAGATGATATATGATTGTAGATCTAGGGTTTGTATTTGAGGTGATGTTGGGAAGATGAAGATGTAAATGAGGCTAAGGGGTATGCTATATATATATAATAAGTGTAGGAATTAGGGTTCTATGTTGTAGTTGGGCTTCAAATAATTGGGCTTGTATAATTTCTTGGGCTTGACCGAACATTGACTATAGAATTAAATGTTTGGGATCGATAATTATTAACTGGAGTAAGACTAAATTAATTGATCAGTCGAATTAATTATAACGGGCTGAGATTTAAAATCTAACATGGGCTCGATCAAATGAAATGGGACGAGGCTCGGCTCATCCGGGCTTCAACCCGCTTGGGCTAACTAGGTCCGATTTTTATAATAAAAATTGAATAAATTCTTCATGGCTTAGACTCAAATTAAAAACTCGATTTAATGCAATTAATACTAGATAAATGCATCAAATATGTAAACTTTATAAATAAAGTCGAGCTCCATAAATAGTAGACACATACGGGGCGTTACAATGATACCTACAAAAAGGATCTCCTCAGACTGGAACTTGCCCCTTCCTCTTAGGTAAAGGTTGAGGTTTCCTCAATATGCTAGTATCTTCTCGTTTCTCTAGAATCTCATACACCTGACCTCTCGGAAATGCCAGTAGCGTATAATGCTCATACTTAAATCACATACGCCCTTTCTCATTGCCCCCAGAATCTCGACCTCTCGACCTCCTCTCATCGGGCCTTTGCCTCTCCTCGTGCTTCTTTACCTTAGCTCGATCATCAAAAGAAAGTTTGCCTCAGTCTCTTCCATGTTCATCTATTTGGTGCATCTCTTTAATAGCTCGTCATACGACCTAGCTGACTTTTTAGACAGAGAATTCCTGTAGTGACCCGGTTGAAGACCTCGCGTGAGACCTCATGCTTTGATCTATTCCAATGCAGAGAGAACCTCCACATAAGCTCGCGCGTACTGAGCTACATAGTCCCTTAAGGATTCATTCTCATGCTGCATCATATTGGTTAGTGTGAGGTAGGTTTTATTATGTTTTCAAGCACTAGAAAATTGGTTGATGAGAAAAGAGCTAAACACGTTAAAGCTATAAATAGATACTGCCAGTAACTGGTGAAACCTGCATTACTATATCGGTGCAAGACCGACACATTCTCGAAGCTCCTCCAATGCCTAGATGGATGTGAGGACCCTCATAGAACATGCTCGGCTCTAAGAAATTCTGAGGTAGATCAGCATCCAAGACATCATCATGGATGACCCTGCACCCGTTGTTGTTGCTGCACTTCCACTTTAGCCTGGAGTTCTCTAATTTGATTAACCATGCATTCTAATGTCACGTCACTTAACGATCTATTAGTTATCATAGACACAATGGACCTCTCATCTCGCTCCTCTCGCCTTCTGCTACTGTACACTGCCAGCCTAGAAATCACTGGAATATGTTGCTCTACCATCGGGACCATCTGTTGAGCCCCTCCCACCGTTTGATCCACCATCGGTTCTGGCTACTCAACCATTGTTGTCAGCTTCTCCCTCGCCGCCTGGGACTGCGACACCTTCACCCTACCAATCGCCTCCACAATAATCCAATCCAACTCCCCTAGTCAATTGTATCACTTTCTCACTACCTCCTTTCGTAGCTCCTAGACCTGGTGTTTGTGCAACAACCTCCTTATCCTTCTTCTCACCAACGAAAAGTCGATCTGCCTACGACTTCAGGATCTGGTTCACCCCTTCAAAGGTCATGTGAGGGATAATCTGCTCACCTTCACCACCAGCGCATCCTGGAAGTGGTCTTACACCATAAGGCATCTTAGCTGCCCAAACCTCCTCCAGGCTCTCATCAAAATTCCCTCTCATTTTTTGTAGTCGTCTTCTCCATCCTAGCTCACTCTGCAACCAATAGAGAACAGAGTTACACTATAGAACGATGCTAATTGATGTATAGTTGCACCTCAAACTAGCTCCCCAAGAGCCCTCAACCAAGTTGCTCCCTAGAAACCTTCAAAGACGCCGGGAGATGTTCCCGACATTAAACCTCGGACGATCAAGTTAGTAAGGTGATATGGAAAACTGTATGAAAATATCTTAACACTTAGAGTGTATAAAGAGTGGTAAACCTTTACATTTTCCCAATTTTACCTATTTATAGAGGATTATTAGCTTTATGAACAATCTTATGTCCTGCCCGACTACCCAAAGGCCTGCCCCACTGCCATTTCTGCCCGAGAGGCCTGCGCATCGGTTATTAGGTTACTCATTGGTCTGTTGTCAGTTATTTGGCTTTATTCTTATCCATCTGATTGTTTACCTCTTTTATTCAAAACCCTACACATGTCCCTTATGGACAGCTTAGACTCGACCTATTATGTAGGTAGAATCCTCTTACGAAGTCACTTACAAAACTACCGAATAACGAGCTCCTCAATATCCGAGCTATAAATATACTTGTACTTGCCAGATTGTCCAAGCTTTTTATATGCTGAGCTACTGATATTTACGTATTATTCGAGTTCCCTAAAAGTCGAGCTACCGATATTGTCGTATTGTCCGAGCTCCCTATAAGCCGAGCTACCAATATTGACGTATTTTCTGAGCTCCCTATAAGATGATCTACCAATATATTTCTTAGTTAGCGAGTTGTCTGAACACCTATTACTTCTAAACTAACCGGCCAAGCTAATCTTAAGTCTGTAAACCAAGCTAACCACGACTAGTTTCACCGAGCTATTTTTCTGTGTATATATCAGTTCATTTAGATAGGCGATTTTTATATCGCATATAGTTCATGAATTTGGGATGAATATTTTTTTTTTCGATGAGACAATGTGTAAAATAAAGACCATTTATATATCACGGTGTAAAAAAAAATTCCCATAAAAATATAATTATAGATATAGATAATAGAGGGTCGTATTAAATCAACTACCTACCCATATATATTTGAAAGATCACCGATGGAATTAACCCCTTGAAAATCAAAAGGGGAGATTTTGTAAATGAAATGATAATAAGTTTAAAAACATAACAAAAATGTATGCATGCGACATATTTCGTAATATAAGATACCATATCTAAGGAAATAAATCGGTCGACTAGGCTGAGCGAATCATTCGGTCGGGTTGAACCGCAGCAGGGTCGGTGCAGGTCGAATGTCACCGACATCGAACCAGAAGCTTTCAATCCAGAAGACATCCTAAGGGTCACAGTGCAGCAGCAGCAACAGGTCGAGTTAGGACCCTCAGATGGCCTGAAGGAAACTCGACGTGTAGGCATGATTGGTCGTACGATTGACCAAAAAGGACAACAATTGTTCTCAGAATTGTCAGTAATCTGCATCAGCAGGCCTCGAGCTGGTCGCATCTTTAGGCGTTGTAGTAGGAAAGGCTAAGGGATAAGAAAGAATCTCACTATAATTAGTGCTGCACATGGATAAGGATATGTGGCACTACTTGATTAGCTCACGCCTTATGACTAGTCTCTGACAGACCGAGCAGAGCGGGCTGTACTATCGAGATGCTTGGGCAGTCAACTCACCCAATCCGAGCAGGCTTCTAGAAGCAGGTAACACATCCCTATATATAGGGGTGAGATGCGCGATTTTAGTTGTTTTACGTTCACATATATTACATACTCTTCGACAAAACTAAATAGGGTGATTCTACAGTCAGGTACCCTTGTACTTTGGCTTGTACTTACTTAACAACAAGTACCTTTTAAATGATTGCCACATGTCCTTTTTCTTATTTAATTAAATAAAAAATCAAAAAAATGACTGTTAGAAATACGAAAATGTCCTTACTGAAAAAAAATTAAAGAAAAAACATTATAAATTGTTAATAAATTTACTAAAAGGTATTGAACTTTTATCATTTAACAATTTGGCCTAACATACTTATGAATCTTAAAATAAACCCATAAAACCTTATTTTCCTCTCATGATTAAGGTGAAGCAAGAACTGATCAGAACCATGAACCCAATGACGACGAAGAAGAAAGCACAGTTATTAGATTCAGTCTGAAATCTTTGGGGAAAATCCAATTACACCTGTAGCTCTCCGCAATTTTCACAAGCTAACAGTAAATCCAAGCCAGAGCTTCTTAAATGGTCGATCTACTTGCGTGGGAGACAGACGTCGTCAGAGGCGACGACGACGGGCGGAGCAAAAATGACAATGATGCAAATTTCAATCCCTCTTATC